CCAGCCTAGCGGTTGACCCGTCGCAGTTATTTAGCTTATGGCATGGAAACGGAAGGTAAAAAAGTACAATGGAGCAAGAAGGATGACCTATGTACACTGCCTCGGAGGGTCGGCAATATGTACTAACTAGCGTCGATCTATTTACGTTCAGAAGCAATCCGGAAAGGTTTCAATGGGACAATAATTGTGAGTCGTCCATGCTCCAGCATTCAACCTTCAACTTTCAAACCCAGGGTCATGGCTCATATACATCAAAGAAGTCCGTCGCGCCGAGTCCCTGTTGGGTCCCTCCTCCGGGAATGTAAATCCTCCCGTCCACCGCCGCCGCCGAAGCTCCATGTCTCGGCAGCTCCATCGGCTCAAGGACTTCCCACTCATCGGCCTCAGCGTCATACACCTCGACGTCATCAAACACGCCCTTGGTTCCTTCTTCGGGATTCCCCTCGCCTCCGAAAGTGTATAGTTTCGTGCCCACTGGCGCCGCAGAGAGCCCTCCTCGCGCCGTGGGCATCGTCGCCTCACTGGTACTCCAGCCGCCCTCGAGATTCTCGAGATCGAGTATGAAGACTGTGCTTTTCACATTCTCCGCGCCTGAATACCTCCCGCCTAAGACGTAGAACTTCCCGTCGATGACGGCTCCGCCCCCGTGGTCTCTCGGTTCGGGGATATGCCTTGCTTTCTCTGGGACCTCGAGCCATTCTCCTGCCGAGATGTCGAAGACACTCACGTCGTCCAAGCTCGTACTCCTACTGGGTATCCCACCAGCGAGATACACCTTGTCCCCATAAACACCCATCACTGCGGCTCCCCTTTTGACCTCTTCCGGCATGGGCTCGAGGCCCTCCCACGTATCCGCCTCGGGGTCGTACCGGAAGGAATCCCCCACAGCAGGCCGGTTGGTCTCAGCACTCAACCCGCCCAAAACATAGATGCTCCCGTTAACCGCCACGGCATTGATATGGTTCAAGGGAATAGGCAGGGATGCAACCTGGGTCCAAGCATCGGCCGTTATGTTGTATAGGAGGACATTATCCGTCGTTTCGCTGCTCTGGACGATCCCGCCTAAGACGGCGAGGAGGGAGTCAGACAGTGCGACTGTGGTGTGTTCTTGGAGGGTCCCGCCCACTGGAATGGGAGCGAGGGTGCTCCAGGAGCCACTTTGGGAGGAGGCGCCGGGGAGAGCTCCGGCGAGAATTGTGGTTAGGAATGCTTTGAGGGATACCATTGTGAGCTATCTGCTCCGTCCACTAAGGGGCGGAGTGAGGTCAACGGGGCGAGCGGGAGCGTAGCAAATCTCGAGTGTCCCGCCTGGGTTTATGGAAGTGGGAGAATAATTCCTTATCCGGCGGCCTGGGGGTTGGGAATCACCGGATAGTAATACTACCTGCCCGAGAGCGGGGGCTTGTGTAGTGGGACTGGAATTCTTGGCCCGGTACTTTTTCCAAATTATTTACGAGTAATACGAGTAAAGCCGGCCCAGTGATCGTCAGGTATGACTGGCGCAAGTACCAACATCTGGGACCATCCGGTTCCTATGCTGACCGCCACTTAGTAATGGTAAGACTGGGAAACGGATAGGACACACGGCGTCGGGTTTCCAGCCTCTTTCTAGACCATTACGGGTAGGAAGGACGCTCAGTTTCGATTTGTATTTTCTCGGGGTATGAATTCGGGAGAAATAAACGCCAAGAAGTGACGAAGGGCAAGCTCCCAAGGAAGAAGAAAAATAATAAAAGAATATGTAACCAGATCCTGCGGAGATACGCAAGTTGTCTGACGTCTCTAAAGTGGGCTGTCCATCGCTCCGTATGTACCTACCTCCGGCTTCAGCTCCGGCCGCAACCCGGTGGCAGACATCGTCCATTGCTACAAATGAAGCCGCTAGAATAGCGACCAAGTGATCCGGAAAAAGTGGGGTCCTGGCCCCACCAGGACCGCCCGACGACGCCCCACCCCGCCGAGCTCCGGACACCAGGGCCAACCGGACATGGATTCCCGCGCAGACCAACCAAGGAAAGATCTCTCACGTGAACTTCGTCTACTATCTCAGCTTTTCCCAGATATAGAGATTACGGTTCCCTTCTAGCTGCGGGCACTAATTTCAGGAATGTGTATTGATAGTAAGAAATACAGGAAGACACCTCCACTTCCTTCCCTTTTCCACGAACTTTGACACCCGCTATCCTTCGACAAGTTCAGGCATGAAACGAAGAAAGATAGTTCCAAACAACGCCCGACCAGCAAATTACAGCAGCCGTTCCGGCGGCACATAACAGCGCCTGCTCGACGGGCGATACTCCCTGGGGCGCAGCCTCCGCAGGAGCATCAAGGTTTCCACCGCACCCAGCACAGCGATGGTCATAAGGGTCCAAAGACTGCCGCCAGCTTTCTCCATACATGTCCCAAGATCTATCACTTTCGGCGTCCCTCCGTCCCCCACGGTGGAAGGGCCCGGGCCAGAATCGAGACCCGGTGGCATAATCCTCGAGACAGGGCGCGCAGAGGCGCGGCCCCACGGGTGCCCGCGGGCTCGGGGGTCCGCGGGCACCAGAGGCCACGCGGCGGGGGTGTGGGAATGAGGAGCCACCCGCTGGACCGGCAGACTCCCACAAGCTTCTCGGTTCATACTGGGAACTGGATAGCCTGGGCTCTTGGCGGCTGCTAGACTTCCCAGAAATCCCGTTGCTACAGTCACTGTCGGAGTCACGTAGAGTTCCCGTGCCTTGTTGGCAGATGCAGTTTCCCCTTTCGTGCATCTGTGGATAATCCATACGCCCCCAGTCCCCAGAGTGTTCCATCAACGCGATGTGGTATCGCCGCCTCAGCTGGCCGTGAGACTTCGTCGTTGGACGGCCGGTGAAATCAAAGGGGTGAAAGGTCATGATTGGCTTCGCCACAGTCTCCGGGGGCTGATTGGAGAAGTACGCCGCCGCGTCGCCGAGTGATAATATGGGGGCTGACTGTTTCAGGCGCGGGATATCGACTCTAAGACCAAGGCGCTGGCGCAGACGGTCGTTCCTCGTGAGGGCCCCCGGACGGGGCGTAGGAATGGGGGATGGAGGTGCGGCGGGGCGATCCATCATAGCCCATACTTCGTTTGTAAAAGCTAACCACTGCGGTGGCATGAATACATTGTCAGAGCCTCCCTCTTGCGTGTCCGGGCCCAGGAGCGTTTCGTCGTCTGTGGATGTCATTTCGCTAGCATGGAGTTCCTCGAAAAGGTCTACTATAGTTGACAAGAAGGCATCCAGAGGGAGGAATTATGAATCCAACCGCAGATGGTGGCTATTCTCTTCCATCACTTATATGGATTTCAGAGAAGCAATACGTCTGCTTTGTTGTCCTTTCACATCTCGTGAATAAGGGAAATTCCGCGACGATTTGATATCATATTGAAACGAAGGCTGCCTTTAATTGAGAGGCGAGATCCCTGGATCTCTCCCAAACAATTATTCTTGTTTTAAATACACCGGTCTATGCTTGTTAGCGGTAATTTTCCACTCCTTTCGTCTTCTTGGGAAGTGAATACCAACCCGGACAACCTCCCCGACTGCCATTCTCGATGCCGCCTCTTTGTTTTTGATACTTTTCCCAAACTGCCTAGTACCTTAAAAGTCCCCCCACAAAGGAGATATAGATAGGCATAAGTAGTTCTGGCCTCCGTTGTTCCGGTCCATCGACCTTTATGCGCGTAGTTACCCCTACATCCTCTCGTCAGTTCTCGAATTTTGACATCGTTTCCGCATCACAATGTTTCTCAATACTCATTATGTCTAGGAGGTTAAAGACGATATATAAGGCACCCTCGTTCCCGTCAAACTCGAAACATTATTCCTCACATCTTCCACAGATCATATCTTCTGCACATCTTCCGCACGCCAGAGACTTACTAGCGCCAGGATAGCGACCAAGGTAAGTAAGTTAACCATCCCCATTATCAAGCGTCAATATCTCCTTCGACCCTCTTCTACGCCCTAAATCTCAAGCAGGCAACCCACCATGGGACTCGACAGTGTGCCCCCCATGTCGAAGTTCATCGACGCCAGCCGCAGTACAGGTGGGATGCCGGTCAGCCTCCAAAAGGAACGGTCCGACATGGCCATGAAGTCTCTCAATAGCCTCGCCGCGTCAGCCTTCGAGCTCGATATGCGCGTCCCCTTCCCCTCGGACGACATCGTCTCACTCGCGACCCGGCAACAGGTGGATCTCGAGAAGCTCCGCCATGCCGTCGCCACTTCCTCGCTATCGCACGACGAGCTCAACGTCCGCGTGGTGGCCCAGATGAAGACCCTTGCTGAGCGGCTCGAGACATTCGCGACCCTGGTCGCGACCGACTGTAGCCTGAAGCTCCACTGCGAATGCCAGATGCCGATGCGCCTGCCGTACCAGGACCCGGCCGTCCCATTCATGGACGCGACGGATGTCATCCGGCAGAAGAGCGTCCTAGACTACGTGAACACCCACCTAGCCTTCATGTTCGGCGGCCGCACTAGTGACCTGAATCCAGAGCACGAGGCGGCAGGCGTGCGGAGTGCTTGGGACGAGTTGAGCGACCTGTTCAAGGAGTCGTTCGCGCGCGCGCCAAGGACGGTTGAAGGGTTCATGAAGGAATGGGCCGGACTGTGGAGCTCGGACAAGTTCATGGGTGATCTGCACCTGGAGCTTAGGTGGATGAAGCGGGATGCGTATGACCTGGCCGCGGACAAGTTCCACCGGGAGCCCGCGCCGAGGTCGAGGTTCAGGAAGCTCCTCAAGCGAGCTGGGACCAAGCTAACGCGTAAGCCGGAGGGTTTGCCTAAAGGGGGAGTACTGACGCGCGTCAGGACCCAGTCGAGCGGGATATCAACTAGGTCGGGTAGGCAATAGGTTGGATTAAATCCCCTTCTTGTCTTTCTCTCTGGTGCTTCTTCTTTTCTGGAAAGATGTCATTCATGCGTTAGTAGTAGTAGTAGTAGCCTAATCTATCTCTTTCAAAGAGAGATGTCTCAAAAATGGAGCGTTTCCCACACCGGGAGTCGAACCCGGGTCAAGGCCTCACCTCGTGTACGGGTGTGTACTTCGTGAGAGGGCCCTATGCTGACCACTACACCATATGGGATCCTTTATTGGTCGTATCTCGTTTGGATCGGATAAGAGTGGTCATTCTGGGCGGGTGTAGTTCGCTCCTTCCTCTCTTGGGCCTTCAGTGTGTTGTGGTGGGTGGCGAGGCGGGAGTAGGGAAGGCACGACCACTGCCAGGAGCCGGGCAGGAGCAAACCATGTGGGGAGCCAGGTAGCCGCGCCGGTGAGCCAAGCCAGATCTAACCCACTTCTACCGGAAACGGAAGGGGCGATATATGTCCGTTTCGAATCTGTGGTGCCGCTCGACCTGCCTAGATAAAGCAATGCTAAAAACCAAAAGGATCTGCTACCCGTGACCCCCTACAAACAGTTCGGCTTTACCCCCCTTCTCCCTTCAGATCCTGCTCATCATCCGCCTTCTCTGCCGGGGAGGTACAAACCGTAACGACACCTCCGTCGCGATCCCCGGCGCCTGGATCTCGTGGTCTAGGTTGCCCATCTTCGGTTCTTTTGACGACCGCTTCGTTGCTCTCATTCGAGTTGCCGTCGAAGTTGTCGGTGTTAGTCGGGTCCATGTCCTAGTTCCTGACCTTCCTGTGAATGTAGCCGGGTTTGATACCTGAGTGATGTTTACTTGAAGTACTAATCCCTTATTAGCCGGCGTTGGGTAGTTGTAGCTGATGTCAACTTTGCTTCGGAAGCGACGATGCAGACGAGGGGTTACAGCACGGGGAAGCATGCGCTCAGAGGCCTAATTGGGCTTCTAAGTCGGCTTTGAAGTCCAATGAGGCCGGTGCCTGCGACGATGCCGCCTCCCGCGTGAGACAATATCATGATGGCTCCCTTGTCCCTAGCCGTGCAATCACCGCTTCAAAAGGGGGGGGGGTCATCCAGAGTACCCTACACGGAACTTATCAGCGACTTGATCCCGTTTGTATCCATGCTCGCTCCAGAAGATTCAGATATGATATCCTTGCATTCCAAGAGGGGGTGGAGAAGCAAGATATGGTCTGGTCGAGTCGCTTCTAGATTCCGCCATTGCTCATGCGCAGTAAAAAAAAAAAGGCAACGGCCAATTCCGTTAGGCTTACACCCAAGAAGTACATGAGGTACTGTGTAATAATGGCCTGTGTTAACGCCAACATTCATGTAACACGGTTCCGATGACCACTCATAAAGGCAGAGTGTGCATTGTTAGTTTGGCCGTCCCCCAAGTTCCATGTATCCCAAGGGAACGGCCTCTGTCTCACAGTGTAGGTTTTGTATAGGGGTTAGTTTATGATATATAAAAACGCTCCTCTGCCCGCCCTTTGGGTAAGTTGTGTAAGTCTGAAAAAAGAATTACATCAAGCTTCAGGTATGAGGAGTAGACTTCATTTACGAGTGCCGACATAGCTGTAGTTGGTATCGCAACTAAACCGGGGACTATCACGTAGGCATTGAAGTACATGAAGAGAGGAATACAGCCTTGGATGGTGGCTCTCGAGGACTGAACTGGTTTAGTGGGGTGTGGGTTTGGTCGCCAAGGGTAATAGTGAGTCTGAGCCGAAAACTACCTCTATGGAACATATGTACTCGTACCCGTGAAGCGAAGAACTTGGTTCAAAGCCAAGGGGGGAGGGGCTACGCTTGCACAATGCCGTAAAACAAAAAAGGGAAGCCAGAATAGCATCGTTGACAGTAGCACAAGAAGTGCATGGAAGGGGGAAAACTGGAGGAATTCAAAGAGATCAATATAAAAGGCGAACCTGGAAGGAGGGCTGTAGAAAAGGAAGTAAGGATAAAAAAGAAAGTGACCAGTTCTAAAAAGAAAAAAGATCAAAAATTTCTCCCGAACCTGAATCGAACAGGTGACTTTCTGATGAAACCGTACAATTACAGTCAGACGCCATGAACCAACTAGACCATCGGGAGTTTGTTGTTACTACCAGCTTTTCCACATTGGTATATGTAGGACGGAAGTTACGATGTCATTGGCCAGTGAGACATCCACCAGCCTGTCCCAAAGCGGAAGTCCCACCCTAGTTTTACGCCGTATTACTGGTTGGAGTACACGCAGGATCACTGTGGAGGAAGAATAAGCGATATGCAGGTACTCATGGTCTCTTCTCAGACCTGCGATAATATGCATGCACATAACTTGGACCAGTGCTTGTCAGACACATTAACAGCTGATACAAATATGAAGAAGGAAAAGGGTCGTACCCACGCCTCTCCCACTATATAGTACCGCCAACGCGCAAAAGGAACGAGCGAGGTCCCCAAAGAATAACGAGATGAAAGGAAAAATAACAAGAGAAAAAAAATAGGGATTGTTCTCTAAACATGCTCGTACAAATATCCCGATCGGGATCGCCAAGCCCACGCCACGTGCGAATAGGCGGGCCACAGCCAAAGAGGCATCATCGCCATGTGATGGATATTACCTGGGTGACCCGCATAGATGGCGGAAAGGGGCATTCCTGCAGAAAATCTACCAAGCTTTGGTAAGGTTCCCATCTCATTCTCGACTGCCTGTCTAATACCTCGTACAAGAGCTCAACTCGATGGACGTCGACGAAGGTAGTCTAGATGCGAGCAAAGTCAACCACCACACATTCCTCAGCTCTCACAAGCTTATTATTATCCTCTTCCCCCCTCCCCCCGGCTAAGGCTCGTGAAATCCCTATTACTTCCACCAATAATCTCGAGTCTCACGAACAAGTGGAAAGAACGAGAAGAACGAGAACGGCCGAGGAGTAGACAGCAAACAGAGGAAACAGGACAATGGATAATACAAGTGATATCTTCGAGAGAAACAGGTTTTCAATCTTTAATGTTATGAAGAAGAAAATGAAAAAAAAGGGGGGAAGATTCAACTCCCCCCCTTTGCTTGCTTGTCCATCTCTCTCCCAAATTATCTCATACGAGGATGAAAATAAAGCTAATATGGAATGGAAAAAGCTAAGGAGGGGCGTGAAAACGCGACGCGAAGCTGCGAACGAATGTCGAGAAAAATGTTGTTTCCGGTCTACTTTCAACATGTCCTTTCTTTACTCCCCTCCTGCACCCCTCCTTCCCATTTCTTTCCATTTCTTCTCCTCCCATCGCCCCTATGAGAAATACTGGGAGAGAGAGAGAGAGAGAGAAAGGAGAAATAAATAGGAAAAAGAAAAGTTCGAACCAGAAAGGAGAAGGACTCAAGAGGGGGACACCCGTTTCCCGCAATGACGGCGCTCCTCCGCTTACTTCTTGACGATGGAACCGCCGAGAGGGAGTGCTTGCAGCCCTGTAAAAACCTCCGTGTTAGCATATATCCAAAAGAAAAAAACCCTTGACCCGAGGGAAAAAGGAGAAGAGAATGTGGAAAGGGAGAGGGAAGAGGGACAGGGTCGGGGAAAGGCAATAGGGACTTACATCCGTCGACCGGCTCGGGGGCGGCCTGGGGGATCTTGCAGGCGTTGTACTTCTCGGGGGGCTGGGACGTGAGGCCGGCGGCGGGGCAGTCGCGGTTGAGGTTGCACCCGCTGTCCATGGCCCGCTGGAGGGTGTCGTCCTTCCAGCCGAAGACGTAGTCACCGTGGGCGGCGGAGCCACTGCGCGTTGTTGGTTAGCTTCCACAGCCATCTCGTGCCTCACCAGCTTCGCCCCTAATCCATCACCAAGGACAGGTAGGAGATGGGGAAAAGGTGACCATGAGAAATGGGGGGGGGCGGATAACTTACCCGAGGTCCATGGAGTAGACCAAGTGGTCGGAGCCGTCAGTGGGCCACTGGCTCTGGTCCGAGAAGTCGGTGATGTTCCACATCAGCTCGAACATGACCTGAGGAAGCTTGACGGGGTGGGTCTGGGGGCACGCGCCGCCGCCGTTGGCGCCGTAGCCCTGGCCGTAGGCAACGTGGGTCCTGTGGTCCACGCTGTCGAGGTTCTTCCCGTCCCAGCAGCTGCACGGGGTTTCACTCTCGTTAGCTTCAAAACTCTTTCTCTCCGTCCGCGTCTGCCCCTTTCCGGATTCCAACCTGAGGTAAAGAATGGTCAGGGAGGTTACGGGAGGACTTACGTGGGGAAGATAATGGTCTGGCGGATCATCTTGCAGTTGGGCGACTGGGGGATGGCGACCGTGTCGCTGCCAGAGCAGGGCTGGGCACCGACGAAGGTGTTCTCATTGGGCGAGGTCCAGCAGCGATGGCAGATGTTGTTCTTGTTGACCTTCGAGTCATCGGTATTACCGGCGTCACCAGCAATCATGCGGAAACCCTGGAATCTCTTCGTCAGCCAGATGATATCTTACTTAAAACAAAATGGAAAAATCTCCCTGAGCTAGAAGGAGAGGCACGGGCGAGAATCCCAGTGCCAGGCTAGGCTGGGAGGAAGAGGGAGAAGGAGAGAGGAGGGGAGTTAATCACCTTGGCGAAGGCGGTCGTCCTACCGCTGGGGATATAGTACACGTCAAGACCTCCGTCGTTGATCAGCTTGCCCTGGGGGCCACCGTTGCCCGTCTGCGGGACACGCTGGTACATGCCGTCCTTGTTCTTGAAGAACATGACCGCGGTCCAGTAGTTGGACAGATCCTCGTTGAAGGAGCAGGACGTGCACGTCGATTGGCTGACAAGGTCGTGGTCGGCCGGGTCCATGGTGATGTTGAACGAGTTACCGCCAACGATCTGGTGGAGATGGGGGGTGTAGAGCATCCCCGGGTTGACGATGGGGTCAACGCGGTCGACGACGAGCTGCGAGCACGCGAACCGCAGCATGTTCTGTCCGGCAACGGTCTGCGCCAGGAGCGCGGCCGTGGCGAGGGAGAGTTGTTGCTTCATCTTGGGCCTTGTTTTCTTCTCTTTCCTCTCGCTCTGCTTTATTCTGGTGTTGTCTTTGGAAGGGGAGGGGGGGGGGACTCGGGACGGATAACCCGGATTTAACGAGGAACTGGGACCGACTGAACGAACGGATTAGAGAGTAGCAGGAGGATCAAGAAGAGGAGGAGGAGCGAAAGGTTTAGGGAAGGGAGCCTCTGGCACTCTCCTTATACCCCTTCGTTCCCTCGTCTCCGAATGCCTT